CGGGTCTCGAACCCGCGGGCTCAGGCAATCCACTCATCTCAGCCTCCCAAGGCACAGGGTTACAGGCTGAACCACCGAGTCCGTCCTGCATCGCTCTTTGAAGGACCCAGAGCACACCACGCTAAGGTACCCAGGTCTTGTGGCAATCTAAATCCCAAAGCGTTTTGCTTTTGGACAACAGAGCCCCCAGTTGGGCCACGTCTTCCCTGTGGCACCCTTGTGGGATGGAGGCTGCATATACCTTGGAAGCAGCTTCCTCTCATTCTCCCAAGCCAGCTAAGCAATAGTGGAAGAGGAGAGAGGGCCTGAGAGGCCAGGGTGTCACAGATCGCTTCACAGATTGCTTCTCACCTCCTGAATCTGTTCCTTCATCACCTTGATCTCATTCTCTCTAGGTTCTATTTGCTTCTTCAGCTCCTTTATTTTGTAGTCAAGCACAAACTTGAATTTCTCCAGTTCTTGGTTTTTCTTTTTCAGATCATAAATTCGCTTCTCCTGGGGGTGAGATGAGAGAAAAGTGAAAGATAACACAAGGTCCCGTACATGAAATTCCTTTAGAGCAAAGAACATAAATCCTGTGATTCTCTTGCCTGAGGAGGTCACATATTTCTCCCCTACTGGGGGTTCAAAGGCTGACTCTCTCCCCACCAGGCTGTACCACTGACTCCTTAGTTTCTGTACCAATATTTTCATTCATTCATTCACTCATCCATATACAGGTTGTGGACCACGGTATTTCCAAAGATGGCCTCAACACCATCTCCCACCTCACACTGTAGCACTTCTACAACATGACCTGGCTGCTTCTCCATCAGGAGGTAGAATCCAATCCCTTTCCCTCGCATTTGGTTGGACTTATGACTTGCTTGTAACTCAAAGAATGCAGGAAAAGGGATGCTAGGTGGCTTCCGAGGGTAGGTCAGAGAAGGCTAATAGCTTCCACCTGGCTCTTGGGACACTTGCTCTGGGGGAGTTCATCTGCTATGCAAGCAGTTCAACTACACTGAGACTTCAGGCTGGAGAGGCTCTGGTCAAAAGACCCAGCTGAGCCTAGCTCCTCCCCACCCCTCGCATCCCTGCCAAGATGCTGGACATGTGACTGAAGAAACCACCCTGGATGTTGGTCTTCCAGCATCCAGTTGTTTGAGTCACCCCAGTCCTCCGGCTAAGGTCCTAGACACGGGGGCAGAGATATACCGTACCCTGCCCAAACTCCAGACCCACAGAATCTGTGAGCAAAATAAAAGTTGTTGTTTCGCTAAGTTTTAAGGTAATTTGTTTCATGGCTATAGTAACTGGAACATAGGTCTACTCATCCATCAGGCACTTACTGAATGAAGATCTTTTACCAAATACTGGGTTTCCAAATATAAATACTGCACAGCCCCTGTCCTTAAGAGAAAACACTAGCTGGGAAAGCAGATTTATAAACAAATATAACCCTAAAATGTGATAAGTGTTGTGAAAGAGGGAGGCACAGGAGGCAAAGTATATATTGAGGGTGCTAGAATAACTGGCTTGAACATCATGTGGTGGTTCTCGGAGGAGGTGAGCAGCGAGGCTGGGGAAACAGGAGCAAGGCCAGGGTCTTCATGCTGGGGGAAGAGGTCAGAAGTTGTCCTACAGGTCAGTGGTTGGTAAACTACAGCCTGTGGGCAAATCTAGCCTCTGACTATTTCTGCAAAGTTTTCCTGGAGCATAGCCAAGTTCGTTCATTCATGTTTTGTTTGCGGGTAGTTTCACACTACAGCAGCAGAGTTGATTCATTCAGACAGAGGCCATATGGTCTGCAAAGCCTAAAATATTGACTACCTAGTCTGCGTGTGTGCTAACCTCTGCTGTAGCCATGGGGATTTAAGTAGGGGATTGGTGTCATTACAATTGCACTCTGGCATGCGTGGTGGTGGGAACGATTGTGGTAGACCTGTGAGGAGGCTGTTGACATTTTCTAGGTGAGGAGGCCTTAATCTCTTTCTTGTCAAAATCCCCCTTGAAAACCTGAAGAGCTTTCCATCATCTCTAAAATAAAAATAAAAATAGCCCAGATACACACACAAACACTCATGCACAGAAATGACATCCAGGTACTATCCCACCTAATCCTTACAAGACCACTTGAGGCAGTAATCATCCCCAGGTTTTTTTTTGGAGTTGGGGTCTCACTCTGTCACCCAGGCTGGAGTGCAGTGGCGCAATTGTGGCTCATCACAGCCCCTACCTCCTGGGCTCAGGTGATCCTTCCACCTCAGCCTCCTGAGTCGCTGGGACTACAGGCACAGGCCACCATGCTCAGTTAATTTTTTTTTTTTTTTTTTTTTTTTAAGAGATGAGGTTTGTTATGTTGCCTAGGCCTCTCTTGAACTCCTGGGCTCAAGCAATCCTTCTGTCTCAGCTTCCCAGAGTGCTGGGACTACAGGCATATGCCACTATGCCAGGTTGACTTCCTGAATTTTTTCTTTTTTGTAGAGACGAGGTCTTTCCGTGTTGCTCAGACTGATCTTGAGGTCCTGGCCTCCAGCAATCCTCCTGCCTTGTCCTTCCAAAGTGCTTGGATTATAGGTGTGAGCCACCACACTTAACCTACCCCCATTTTATAGATGATAAAATGAGGGCTTAGAGAAGTTGTCCAAGGTGCCATGGCCAGCAAATGGAGGAGCCTGTGCTGGAAGCTAGTTACCTAATGCTGAAGCCCAAGTCCTCCATCTCTGGGGAATGTTGCCTAACACAATAGTGGCAGAGGGGTTGGCGAGGAGGGCATGGAGTCTGGATGTGCTCAAAAGGGTGACACTGAACTCTGGATATTTTGAGTTGTGTGCCTTGCAGAATGTAATGTGTCTGTCTTCTGAATGTTTTGTGAAAAAGACATCCTGAAAAGTAGACCTAGCTTGCTGGTACCCAGCAGTTCCAGGGCCAACCCCAGGACAATCCCTCTCTGGTCAGTGAGACCATGTGGGTAAAGTGGCAAGTGAGTTGCCCCCAGCCCATGGATGCCTGGAGCAGTGGAGTCAGCTGACTTGGGTTCTGATCTCAAGTCTGTCACCTATGAAGTGTATGACCTGGGTATGTCATAGGTATGTCACCTATGAAGTGTGTGATACTCAGCCTCTTGGAGTTCAGTTTCCTGAGCCCTAACACTGGGTTGCGTATGGTGCCTGGGTTGTTGGCAGAATCCAATGTGTCAGCCCACTGCCAAGCACACAGTAGGTACTTCATTGACCAGCCATTCCTCATCAAGTGAAAGACATGTCCTGAGAAGCCAGGGTCTCTCTCTCCCCTAGGCTCCCTCCTTGCCTGAGTCCATCAGCAGAGCTGAGGGAGGACAGAAGAGGAGCCTTTACCTTATCTTGAATAGTCTCATCTCTTTCCTGGATCTCTCGCTTGAGGCCTTGGGTATCTTTCTCCAGAGACCTGATGACTCCTTGCAGCTTCACCTGCTCTCCCTTCAGGACCTCAATGTCATTGGTTCGCTCTTCAATCTCCTTCTGCAGGCTGCTGAACTGGAAAAGGAAACCACAGATCACTGGAGTCTGAACTCCTGTCTACCCTTCCAATTATCTGAACTTGAAGCATTCCTCATCATGGACCAGCTGGAATCTGAACTGCCCCACCTTCTGTGAGCTGAAAACACCTAGCACTCAGCATTTCTGGACTTTTAGGAGTGAATATTTGGAGAATTTGGGACAGTTTAGGAATCTCTCAGGCCAAATGGATGATGTAGTATTCGGTCCCATAACATGTAGGCCTATTGTCCGTATGTGAGAACTAACTGAGTCTCCAAATGCTAGTATCCCAGAGACTTCCATGACCCTTCAAGGGCACAGAGATTGGGCTCTGATGAACTGTCTTACCCATGTCCAAGAAGGGATATGCTAGTGTGATTTCTTTCTTTCTTTTAAAATAATGTAGCAGGGCTCGGTGGCTCAGCCTGTAATCCTGTGCCTTTGGGAGGCTGAGGTGAGTGGATTGCCTGAGCCCACGGGTTCGAGACCCGCCCGGGCAGCGAGACCTCATCTCTACAATAAATCAAAAAATCAGCTGGGCATGGTAGTGCATGCCTATAATTCTGGCTACTTGGAAGGCTGAGGCGGAAGGATCGCTGGAGCCCAGCAGGTCGAGGCTGCGGTAGCCGGAAGCGGCCACTGCACTCCAGTCTGGGTGACCGAGTGAGACTCCAACTCAAAAAAAATAAAAAAATACATAAAATAAAATAAAATAATGTAACTGGGGAACACTCAGACTGCATTCCTCCCTCTTCCTGTCCCCAAGGAAGAGAGGCACAACCATCCGTGGTAAACCGCAGTTGCAGAGAAGCAACACCAAAAGCCAGCTCCATGCAGTAGTGTGATATCTAACAGGAAGAAACTTGAGCTTGCTTTGAACTTGGCTTCTGTGGGGCTAAATGTTTTAGGGAAACTGTGGCAATTCTAAAAGGACCTGTGAATGGAGTCCTCCCTCAACCCAACCATCAGTGAACTAGAAACATCTTCACCATCTTGTAAACTAAGCACTCTACACTGCCACACCCTCTCCCACCCATGAAGTCTGAACTGAGCCATCTGGGACTCCCTGAACCAGGAGCCCGAGAGGATTCCCCCAGGCTTAGGCTTTGTCTCTCTCATCCCAGAAGACCTTATTTCCATTTCTATTAGATGCTTAGCTCTGAAGACATTGACTAAATCCTACATGCCGGTAAGGGAAAGTCCAGAGAGCATCTGTCAGTGCACAGGAACCTCAATATCCCTGAGAAAGGAAGGAGCAGGAAGCCCTGCTGGTTACCTTTCCAAGGATATAGTGAGGGTCTCTCAGCGTAAGGTGCACTGCACTGGTTAGCGCTCCTTCCCTGACCGGCTCGCTGGAGATGAGGACTCAGGCAGGACCCCTACCAGGCCAGCCAGGGCAATCTTCCCACCTTACCCCAACTTTCTCTGCAATGCTGCCCTTGTCCAACCCCAGTTCTCTCAGAGAACAGCCTGATACCTTCTTCCTCATGATGCCTGTTTCTCCTTTGAGACGCAGGTTTGATTCCTTCTCATCCCGAAGCTTTTTCTCATACTTGGTTTTGATGTCTTGGATTTCTCGGTCTTCATCTTCTTCAATCTGCTTCTTGGTCTCTTCAAACTCCCGCAGCTGCTGCCTGACGTCTTCCTGGGCCTGGGTCAGAGAGGGAGAGCATGTGGTCAGGGGAGAAGCGTCTCACACACCTTTGTACCAAGAGGGCTTGGGGTGAGACAAGCACAAGGGCCTGTCACAGGGAGTGGGAGGCTGGGTACCACTCCAGAAAGGAAGCCCACAGCTGCGGCACCCCGATCTGTCCACCTTCTTCCTGTCTGTCCTTCTGTTTCTTTCTATTCCCTACCAGATCAGGCCTCATGCTTCATACCTTCTACCCTCCTCTTGCCAACTCCCTCAGATGCTGCTCTCTGGTTTCCTTCACACCACCACCCAGGCTTCCGAGATTTTTCCTTCACAGAATTTGTGACAGTTATAATTTGATATTTATTTGTAAACTTACTTGGCTGTTTCTATCATTAGAGGTATCATTAAGTTCCTTGAGTTTAGAAACATTGTCTATCACTCCTTGTCTGTGAATTCCCAGTGTACAACACATCCGGATGTGTTTGCAAGAAAGCTACGAATGGATGAGTGCATCTTTAATTCTGCCTGCCCTGCCCTTCCTAATCCAAGCAACCCTGTCCTTTCTCTGTGAAAGGGAGACAAAGCTTGGCTTCCTGTGGGTACCTCTTTCAGAAGGGTGGTTTTCTCCTGCAGTTTGGCCTCATAAAACTCAGTCAGCTCCTCCAGGGCCTGGCTTTTGGTCTCATCATTATCCCGAAGCTGTTTTTCATACTCTTCCTGCATCCTCTGGGACTTGAGCTGTAACTCCTGATACTTTTCATATTCTAGAAGCAACTTTTGGTTGTTGCAGCATTCTAGAGAGAAGCAAGGATAGTATTTAAGGTAGGGGAGCAGCACCAGCCTCAGGGATACCCAGGGACCTTGGGTGATTTCCCACCCTTACAGCACATGCCGGAACAGCTGCCTCAAGATTCAAATGCCTGTCTAGCTTCCTCAACTGCTACATCATCTCGTCAGGCAGCTAACTCCCTCCCTTCCCCCTCTGCACAGAAAGATTTTTTAGAAAAGCACAAAGGGCATTTGGGGGTTCAGGGCCAAGAAGAATGTCCTGACATTGGAAAATAATAGTAGCCGTATTTTATAGAAGAGTAAACAGAAGCTCAGTAAGGTTGGGTGACTCTCTAGAGTATCCAGCAAATAAGTCTAGGCAATCTATCAGGCTCCAGATTTGAACTTTTCCTTATCTCCTGCTTTCATACAATAGGTGTTTAATACATGTTTAGTGAATAAGTAAATACACAGGAGTGAAAACCATGCGCATTTCAGGGGATAAATGCAGCCTGTTTTTAGACAAAACCATATTCCTTGCGGCTTCTGTTGTGTCCAGGGGACTCGCAAATGTTTTTCCATAACTTACTCTTCCAACCCCAACCGAACCACCCTCTGCCCACGAGGCCTCTATTTGTGGGCTCACCTAGGTCTTGCAGTTCCCGGCTTTGTTTGTCTAGAAGGTCTTCTATGCGCTCACGGTGAAATATATCCTGCTTCTCTTTTTCTGTTCTTAAGACCTAAAACAGAGTCACTTTTCCTCATTTCTACACATCCACTGAAAGCACTACTAAGACAGGAGCTAATTTTACAAGTAACATCTTCCTTCACTGGCAAACATTTATCAAGCCCTTACTGAGAACCGAGCATTGTCCTATGAGCAAAAACTACACTATCACACTTTACTAACGTTGTATTCTGCTCTACAAGTTCTATACTTTTCCTATTTATATCCATACTACCAAATGGGTTTGCCAATGATGAGTTCAGTTTTGGACATGTATCAGGTAAATTTCTGGGCAAAAAAGTAGGGATTCATTTGAATCCTCTGTTGCCTGCATGCTGTTGTCAGTGAAATCCTTGTATGTGTGTTACTGTGTAAGCTTCTGAGGAAGTGTCCTTTCTTCCTTCCTCCCTTCCTCTCTTCCTTTCTTCCTTCTTTCCTTCCTCCATCCCTCCATCTCTTCCCATCTCTCCATCCCTCCTCTATCCCTCCTTTTTTTTTCTTTTTAAAGTCAGATTCTCACTCTGTTGCCTAGGTTGGAGTGCAGTGGCATGTTCCTGGCTCCCTGCAGCCTCGACCTCTTGGGCTCAGGCAATCCTTCTGCCTCAGCCTCCCCGAGTAGAAGGGACTACAGGCATGTACTGCCATGCCTGGCTAATTTTTAAATGTAAAGATGAGGCCTTGCTATGTCACCTAGGTTGGTCCTGGGCTCAAGCAGTCCACCTGCCTTGGCCTTCCGAAGTGCTGGGATTATGGGTGTGAGCCACCTCACCCAGCCTGGCAGTGTTTTCTTTAACTGAGCTAGAAAACTCCATGCAGGTGGGGAGGTACCATCCCCAGGGCCTTACTCTGTGGCTTGAATGGGGCACCAAATAAATGCTAGTTGACTAAATGAATAAAAGTATAGATGAATAAATTAATACGATTAATAGTCAAGGTTTTTTCAGTCAAACTTTCTGACCTGTGGAATGAAAAACAAATATCCTTTAAGCAAAAAATTGAGAGTTTTGGATAAGGGACAAGTTGTATAGAACAAAGAAAAGATTCCAGGGGAGTCCTGGACCAAATCTAACTACAAAAGACCATTCATTTAGAGTAATTTTATTTTAACTTTCTGATTATCCAGGAGTCAACATTCTGCTAAGTCTTCCCCTTCTATTCTTTTTGTCTATTCATTTTGTTTTTAAATAAATTCCTCCTGGTTATATATTCTCATTGAAGAGAAGTTAGAAATTACAAAAGTATAAAGAACAAAATTTAAATTCTCTATAATTCCAACTTCTAGAGATAATTATATTCTTATGAATTTTCTATGTGTATTTATTTTACCAATTAATACCATTCTCTGTAGAGAGGTTTATATTCTGCTTTTTCTCATTTAGAACTTTGTTGTAAGCATTTCTAATGTCAACTATGCATAAAGTAGAACATTCTCATATGTTTTATTGTTCAATAATAGCTTGGGCAACATATGCCAGTCCCATCTTGAGCAAAAGTGGAATTTTTTGTTATTTGTGGTTGCTGGTGAGTCACTCAAACAGACCTGGTTTTTTGTCTTCAAGGACTCCATTTCCTGGATGAACTTGTCCGTTAGCTCCTTAATCTTCTCAGAATAGTTCATATCCTTTAGTCGAAGTTGATACTCATTCTCCATTTTTAATTCTTCCACACGAGTCTTGAGCTCTAACATAACTTGAGCCTTTGGGAGAAGGACACAGAATCAAGAACACTGACAATGTTGAATGTCAGAATGGGTGAATCAGAATATGTAAACCTGCAGCCTTGACCAGCTTCAAACTCAGTGTGTCTCAATTAGAACTTGCCATCTTTTCCCCCACAAGACTCATAGGCTAATAACTAGGAGACATAGAGTTTTTTCCTCTAACCTTACAAAATATATTCGGTGAGCCCAATTGTGGGCCCAGCATTGCGCCAACAACTCTCATTTCCTTCAAATTGCCTTAAATGTCTCCTGTTCAGTGAGGCCAACAGCAGACTACATTGTTTAATCCTGCTACCCTCTTCCCGTTCCTGGCACCCATGACCCCCCTTAGTCTGTTCTATCTTGTATTATTTTCTTAAATCTTGGTACTTTCTAATATGTAATTTACTTATTATTTTGTTTATTGTCTTTTTTCTTGTTTTCCCACTAGATTTTATGTTCCATGTAGCTGGGATCTTTGTTGGGCTTGTTTGCTGATGTGACCCAAGTGCCCAGAACAGTGCCTAACACAGAGTAGACACACAAAAGATATTTACTGAATCATGATTCCTGTTCCATGAAACTCACAGCCTACTGAGGCAGCCAAATAAACATATAATTACAAATCATAAGTGCCCAAAGCTGGGCGGTTCTGAGAACTGTTGATTTTTCCCTCTTGATGCCTTTTATGCCTATGTCAGCCTCACTTATTTAATTTAGGTCCTAACTCTTAGGTCTTGCTGGTTCCTATGTCTAGTGTCTTCTTCTATTGTGATCACTGATAATGAAGTTTTCTAAAAATATTGTATACACACACCCCTCATTTCCTCTTCTTGCTTACTTATGAGGACACCCCCTGCATTCCTATGTCATCCTTTCTGGTCTGCTCCTCCCTACCCATTCATGAACGACTTGACACCAAGGAACATGTTACGCTCATTTTTGTATTCCTGGCCAGTAGACTAGTGTGGACCTGGCACACAGGAGGTACTGAGACAAGGGATGAACATAAAGTGCATGTGCAAAGTCAGGGAGGTAAGAGCAAGAACGCTCGGTCATGGCACTGTGTGTGATTTGGTGAATGTGGGAGGTATAGGAAAAGGAGGCTGAGACTGGGTCAGATCATTAAGATCCCTGTGACCGTGCAAGGAAATCTGGTTTTTATCCTAGAGGACTTCCAAAGATCCTCATCTAGCCTGAACAAGCTGACTTTGGTGTTATAAGAACTTCTCTGGGCTGGGCATGGTGACTCACGTCTATAATTCCAGCACTTTGTGAGGCAGAGGTGAGAGGATTGCCTGAGCCCACAGGTTCAACACCAGCTTGGGCAACAGACATCTTTATAATAAATCAAAAAAATTAGCTGGATGTGGTGGCACATGCCTGTGATTCCAGCCACTTGGAAGGCTGAGGTGCAAGAATCACCTGAGCTTAGCAGGTGGAGGCTGTGGTGGCAGTGAGAATGCCACTGCATTCCAGCCTGGGCAACAGAGTGAGACTCCTACTCAAAAAAAGAAAACAGAAACAAAAATAACTTCTCTGATGGCAGTGTGCAGCATGGACTAGATTTTAAATGGGCCAAAGGCAAGATGATGAGCTGGGGGAGAGACTGCATAGTCCAGGTGAGAGATGGCAAGGGTTTGAACTGAGATTTGGGAGGGGAGCAGAGAGAAATGGAAAGATTGGAGAGTGATAGACTAGAGAGAGTGGTACCTGACTGGGTGTAGGGTGGAGAAGAGAGGATCATAGATGAAGACTCTCCTGGGTAGAATGGCTAATACCTGAGGAGTGGACTTGGCCTATCTTACCTCACTGCTTTATCCCCAGAGCCAAGCATGGGACCAGCAACATAGTCAGCACTGGGGGTGCTGCCTTGGGCTAGTAGAATACATTTATTGGTGGGATGGCCCAGTTTTTGACACTTTATATTTTAGGTCCTTGCTCATGGTCCTTCCTTAGTCATTCTCCACTTTGCTGCAGAGTGATCTCTCCAAGACATGAATCTTGTCAAGTCATTTCCTAACTTAAATCTATCAATGGGTCCTTATGAACAACTTCAGTCTAAAGCATGGTGCCCAAGGCCCTGATGATGCCCTGTTCCTCTGTTCAGCATCATCACCAGTCCTTCTCTCCAGCACAGTCTTTAGTCTCTAGTCACATCTACCTAGGAGAAGCTTCCTCAGAGTACCACTTACCCCTCTGCACACATTCACTCCTCAATGTGGAAGGGCCTTTCCCATTTGTTATGGAAGGCTCTGAGCAAGGCTCATTTCCTCTGGCACTTGGGCCAGGGTCCTTCCCCTATGCTTCAATGGCTTTGTTCTTTCATGACACCCATTGCACACTTAATTCCCTTTTAAATTTTACCCAGCCCTCCTCCCAAGCTGTAAGCTAAAGGACACTCTGTCTTCTATCCTCTGTAATCCCAGACCTTAGTATAGTGTCAGGTATAGCAGACTCCTCTGTATATACTAGATGGGGAATGAATAAATGAATGACTGAATGGATAAATCATGAGCTGAAAGATAGTTGAGAGATAGAATGCCATTTAAAATATATATATACATATTTTTGGGGGGGATTCTGGGTAATGTGACTTTTTTTTTTTTTTTAGTTGGAGTCTCATCCTATCACCCAGGCTGGAGTGCAGTGGCATACTCGTGGCCACCTCAGCATCGACCTGTTGGGCTCTGGCGATCCTTCCGCCTCAGTCTTCCAATAGCCAGAACTACAGGCGTGCACTACCGAGCCTGGATAAAGGTAGAGACAAGGTCTCGACAAGTTGCCTGGGCTCATTTCGAAGCTACAGGCTCATGCAATCCACTCACCTCAGCCTCCCAAAGTGCTGGGATTACAGGCTGAGCGATGGAGCCCGGCCAGAACATGACTTTCAAGAGATATGTGAAAGAAGAACCAGGGAAGGAGCTGGAGAGGAAGAGTCAAAGAGGTTTACAGGGAATAATTAGAGTGTAGTCACATGGACAGTTAGAGAGAAGGGAGCTTCAAAAAGTGAGAAAAGGAGACTCATCCTTTTTAGTTTGGCAGTAGTACTGTCAGGCCTATCTGGGGACTGTGGTCAGCAATCAGCTCAGACACCTTCAGGTCTTTGGTTCAGCCTACTGTCTCCTATTTGGCCCCTTCCCCTGGAAAAATAGAGAAGAAAACAGAAGGAAGAGAAGAAGACATATTTGTCTACCTGCAGTAGAACAGACCTCCACTCTCATGGGCTCTCCCTCATCTTTTCCTCCCTCTTCACCTTTCCTGTAGAAAGTTCTAGGGAGCTCTAGAAGGGTTCTCCAGCAAATGTCATCCTGCTTTGTGGTAGTTTTGCATTGCTGCTCTGATACTTTTACTTGTCTCTATCCCCTAATTGACTGTGAGCTTCCTGATAACAGAGTCCATGCCTGTCTTTTCTTGTTTTTGTTTGAGTGGGAATCTCACTTTGTTGCCCAGGCTGGAGTTCATGGCATGCTCATGGCCACTACAGACTCAACCTGCTGGGATCAGGTGATCCTTCTGCCTCAGTCTTCCAAGTAGCTGGAACCACTGGCATGTGCCACCATGTCCAGCTAATTTTTCTGGCTTATTGTAGAGATGTTTATTGCCCAGGCTGTTCTGGAACCTGTGGGCTCAGGCAATCCTTTCATCTCTGCATACCAAAGTGCTGGGATTACAGGGATGAGCCACTGTGCCTGGCTTGTCTTTTTACATGTACAACCCTAGTGCCTGGCAAATCGAAGATATTTAATAAATGCACTGAGATTTGAGATGAACAGCAATGAGTGTGCAGTACCGTGATCCTCTGTGAGCCTCGTGAATTTACCACCCATTAAGCTTCTCTCTCTGGGAGTATGGCACAGAGCTGTGCACTCACATCTCTGCAAAACACATCTTTACAGAACATTAACTGCATCAACAGGAGGGAAGTCCCTTTGGTACAGTGACTAAGAGCGTGGGCTCTAGATTAAATCCAGATTAGAACTCTGGTCCTACTACGTACTAGCACAGAGACTTTGGACATATCACTCAACCTCTCCAAACCTGTTTCTGAAACATGGAGAGAATGAATGATCTTCTTTATAGAGATGTTGTGAGATTTAAATGAAAACATACAGCATTTATAAATTATTTAGCACAGTGCCTGTTTCATGGCAAATGCTGGTTATTATTACTCTTCTTGTTTTATCATTCAGAGGCATGGATAAGGGCTTTCAGGAATGTTCACTAAACATCTCTCTCTTTTTTAAAAGAAGGTTTCATGGACTAGCAATTACTGAGTTTCTCAGGTACAACTGGGGTATTCAGTTTGCCGGCTTGGTTTTGTAAATATTTATCAATTGTCTTCTATGTGCCCAGCATGTGCTAGAAACTGTTAGCTATACAAGAGAATTGTATGTCATGGTTCCTGCCCTAAAGAGTAGGAAGAGGAAAGCCAGATCACAGGACAAAATTAGAGCACAGTGTAAGTCAAGATGATCATGCTGCAGAAGAACAGTGTGGAGAGGGTGGAAACAGAATCCAGCAGCCATGAGAAGGACAGCTTGGTGGTGTGGACAGAGGATGGGAGTCAGCACCAGGCACAGGGTGCAGCCACGCTATAGAGGACCCTGGTGCGGGACTGAGGAATTGAACGCAGTCTGGTAAAAAAAAAAACTTCCATGTCCCTCTTCACTAGATCCAATTCTTACCTTCTCTTCCATGTCTGTTTTAGTCACAAGCACCTCTTCGGCAAAGCCCACTTCCCTCTCTCGCTTGATTCCACGGCCGTCCTTATCAAAGACCCTCCAGGTGAACAGGCAACCATCAGCAGCAGCAGTCAGCAGGAATTGGTCATCAAAGGTTAGCAACATCTGAAGATTAAAAGACATGGGCAGGAAGATTTCTGAGGCCTTAGAAGACCAGGGATGAGCCCGCTGTTGTGTAAGGCCCTCCCCCACGCAATCCTGGGCACAGTCTCATGGGATGAAGACTTGATCCCAGGTAAGAAAGAGACTGGAACCCTCACAGGCTTCTGTTAGTGACTATAAGAAGCAGGGTTATGTCTACATTCCTTGTGGACTTAAAATCTGAAGAGTCAGCTATTATCTAGAATGTATAAAGAACTCTCACAATTCAACAGTGAAAGCAAGCTATCCAGTCAGAAAGTGAGCAAAAGATACAGAGACATTTCACCAGAAAGGATATACAGATGGCAAGTAAGTACATGAAAAAATGCTCAATATTATTAGCCACTAGGGAAATGCAAGTTAGGACCATGGTGAGCCATTGCTACACACCTATTAGAACAGCTAAAATGAAAAATAGTGATAACACCAAATGCTAGGAATGATGTAGAGAAACTGGGTCTCATATATTCCTGACAGGAATGTCAAATGGCATAGTCACTCTGGGTAAATAGCTTGGCAGTTTTTTAAAAACTTAACATGTAATTACTATAAAGTTCAGCAATCATATTCTTGGGAATTTATTCCAGAGAAATGGAAACTTATGTCCACACAAAAGCCTGAACGTGATTGTTTATAGCAGCTTTATTCGTAATAGCTGAAAATTGGAAAAAAAAATTCTACAATAGGTAGATGGCTAAATAAACTATGGTTTGTTTACCATAGAATACTACTCAGTGATAAAAAGGAATAAACTATTGATACATAAAACAACTTGGATGTATCTGAAGTATATTAACAGCTGAGTTAAAAAGTCACTTTTAGGACTAGATTAAAATAAAAAGTTTCTGCACAGTAAAAGAAACAAACAGAGTGAAGACATAACCTGCAGAATGAGAGAAAATATTTGCAAATGATTCATTTGACAAAGAACCAGTATCCAGAATATACAAGGAAATAAAACAACTCAACAGTAAAACACAAAACAAAACAAAAACCCTAAGTAATCCCATTAAAAGGTGGGCAAAGGACATGAATAGAGATTTCTCAAAAGAAGACATACAAATGGCCAATATATATGACAAAATGCTCAGTAACACTAATTATCAGGGAAATGCAAAGCAAAACCACAATGAGATATCATCTTACCCCAGTTAGAATGGTTATTACTAAAGAGGAAAAAAAAAAGTGTACCAATGTCAATTTTCCGGTTCGATATTTTACTATAGCTCCATAAGATGGCATTATTGGGGGAAACTAGGTGAAGGGTACACAGGACCTCTGTGTTATCTTTAAAATTTTCTGCAAATCGGCCTGGCATGGTGGCTCATGTCTATAATCGTAGCATTTTGGGAGGCTGAGGTGAGTGAATTGCCTGAGCCCATGGGTTTGAGACCAGCCTGGGCAACTTGGTGAGATTTCATCTCCCCAATTAAAAAAAAAATTAGCTGGGCATGGTGGTGCATGCCTGTAGTCCCAGCTACTTGGAAGGCTGAAGTGGAAGGATCACCTGAGACCAGCAGGTTGAGGCTGTGGTGGCCATGAGTGTGCTACTGCACTCCAGCCTGGGTGACAGAGTGAGTCTCCAACTCAAAAAAAAAAAAAGAAAGTTTTTTCCCTGCAAATCAATAACTATTTCAGAATAAAAAATTAAAACAAAAGAGTTAACTATGCAAAATGTCTTCTCACAATCAGCAGTATGGATCAAAAACCTTAAAAGTTTTAATACTTGTTCACTCAGAAATTATATCTGTCAAGAATTTAGACTTAGGAAACAATCAGAGATGTACACATAAAGTTGTAAGCTAGAATATTCACTATAGTTCATAAGATAACTTAAATGCCTAATTGTAAGAGAAGAATTTATAAGTTATGGTTCATCATATGGTAGGATATTTTTGTGTAGTTACTAAAATCATGCTTTTGAGGAATATTTACATGAAAAAAATGCTTACAATAGTGTTATGTAAAATACAAAGTAGGCCACAAAAGAGTGGTCATATGGTAGGATCTTAATTTTATTTAAAACACACATATATTTAAAAGGGAAAAAAGGAATACATTACAATATTAATAATGATGTTATGGGGATTTTTATTCCTAAAATACATATACATAGCTTTTTAAATCAGAAAAATAAATATCCACAGAACTTACTAGATCTGAAGGGAAGAGGGGAAATATGTTGCAGCAATTTACTTTGGAACCAAGGCCCAGGCTCAGTGCAGGAATGTTTCATTTCATAATGAAAAACTCTTTCTTTCTATTTATTTATTTATTTATTTTTGAGTTGGAGTCTTACTCTGTCACCCAGACTGAAGTGCAGTGGCCGCACCTGGCCACTACAGCCTCGACCTGCTGGGCTCTGGCGATTCTTCTGCCTCAGCCTTCCAAGTAGCTGGAACTACAGGTGCTTGCTACCACACCCAGCTAACTTTTTTGATTTATTGTAGAGGTGAGGTCTCGCCAAGTTGCCCAGGCAGGTCTCGAACCCACAGGCTCAGGCAATCCACACACCTCAGCTTCCCAAAGGCGTGAGATTACGGGCTGAGCCACCGAGCCTGGCTGATAAACTCTTTCTTAATAAGGACAGTGTCTGTAGGCAAGCCAATATAGAATTTGGAAAATAATTAAAAACCTTAGTTGTTAGTGTCACTCCATCTGGACTATTTCTATCTGGAATAGGAAAGGGGAAGGAAGAGGAGACACATATCTTCCCAGTGTCTGTTTTTCAGGGGTTCTGTGTAAACACAGACATTACTTTTTTTTTGGACTATTAATAAACTTTAATTTTTTATTGGCTATGTTTTCTTGGCAAACACTTTGCATGTCATATTATTTTTTTCCCTCATTTTTTTGTTGTGCTAAAATATATATTACATACATTTTGCCATCTTAAGCATTCTTAAGTGTATGGTTCAGTGTTATTAAATACATTTGTAATGCTGTATAACCATCACCACCATCCATCTCCATAACACTTTCATCTTATAAAACTGAGACTCTAGACTGGGCATGGTGGCTCACACCTGTAATCCCAGCACTTTGGGAGGCTGAGGTAGGAGGATCTCTTGAGCCCAGAGGTTCAAGACCAGCCTAGGCAACATAGTGAGACCTTGTTTCTTAAAAAAAAAACTAGTCAATCATGGTGGTGTGCACCTGTAGTCTCAGCTACTTGGGAGGCTAAGATGGAACAATCACCTAAGCCTAAGAGGTCGAGGCCGTGGTAAGCTATGATTGTGCCACTGCATTCTAGCCTGGGTGACAGAGTGATACCCTGACTCAACCCCCCCAAAACAAAACAACCCCCCTGAATCTCTATAGCTATTAAATAATTATTCCCTATTCTTCCCCCAGCTCTAGAAACTACCATTCTACTTTCTGAATCTGATTTTTGACTGCTCCAAGTATCTCATAAAGTCAAGTCATGTAGTATTGTCTTTTGTGATTGGTTTATTTAATCTAATAGATAGATCTAAAGGTTTATCTATGTTGTAGCACATTGCAGAGTTTCTTTCCTTTTTATAGCTAAACACCATTCCATTGTTTGGATATAAAACATTTTGCTCATCCACTCATCTGTCATTGGAAACTTGTGTTGTTTCCACATTTTAGTTATTGGACATAGACACTACACTTTAGGAGAAGGGAAAATGGAAGGACAATTTACAAATGTGTGCTAATGTTTTTGCCTTCAGGGGTGGCCTTTTGTGCCCTGAGTGAGGGGTAGGGGCTAATCTCCTGGGCTCTGACACATTTTAGTCCAGGGAAATTCTCTGGAGAAGTGGGCTGCTGTGGTCATGAGCAGCCAACACTCAGAGCAGCTGGAGATGTGATAATGACGTGGGTAGGACACCCACAGCAAATATCGAATGGACCATTATTATGCATAATATTATGGTGAACAACCTTGTACACAAATCTTTAGGGGCATCTCTGATTGTTTCCTAGCATAAATTCAAGAAGTAGTTTAAACAAAGAGTACTAATAGTCAATAGATGTTTATTGAATGGATGGTGGATGAACACATGAGAGGAATAAGGAGAAAGAAAAGATGTGGGGAGGCTAAAGGGATGAAAAAGGCATGTGACTGGCAGATCTGGGACTGGGTTCCTGAGGAAAGGGTCCCCTCTCACCTTGGTGATGGGACCAGCATGGGCCTGGTACTCATTGAATTCTTTCTGCAAAGGCAGAGGGTACTTCATTGCACGAATGGTTCCCACTGAGGTGCCCACAAACATCATGCGCCCAGAGTGCGACATGACAATGGCTGTGTAGACAACTTCGAATGCTGACATCTCTCGAAGGACCTGGAACACAGGCATCTCTGTTCAGTGTGAGGGCCTGTGCTGTGTTCCCAGTGCCCCAGTGCCATTCTTTCCCTCTCTTCGAATAGCATCCTTAGGGGGTCTGTGTTAAAAAAGTGTTTTTCTATCTATAGTATCTGGTATAGTGCCTAATACATAAAAGTTCCAAACTAAATATTTCTTTGTTGCATGACTGATGAATAACCAGTTCTAGGAGTTAGGAATGACATCAATAAAGAGAAATCTTTATACAGCATTTACTTTGTGCCAAGCACAATTCTATTCCTTTTGCATGTTATTGCTCATTCAATTCGCACAAAAGCCCTCTGAGGTAGTTATTGTCATCACTAGTTTAAAGATGACAAAACAAAGTCCCAAAGGTGGTAAATCACTTGCCTCAATTCATACCCCTAGTGAATGGTAGGTAGTCTCTGCTCTTGACTGCTATGCTGTAGTGTCTCTCAAAATGAGAATGGGATATTGATCATAAATTTGTTCAGCAAACATTTATTAATGTCCAATATATAAACAAAACTATACAGTAATCTCCCCTTATCCATAGGGGTATGTTCTAAGACCCCTAGTAGATGCCTGAGACCACTGATAGTACTGAACCCTATATACACTGTAACTGTGATAAAGCTGAATTTATACATTAGCCACAGTGAGAGATTCATAGCAATTACTACTAATAAAATAAAACAATTACAATAATCTTCTGTAATAAAAGTTATGTGAGTGTGGACTTCCTCTCTTTTCCTTAAAATGTCTTATTATACTATACTCACCTAATTTCAGACCTTAGTTGACTGCAGTTAACTGAAACTGCAGATAAGTGGAGACTACTGTACTATCGGGGAACTCATGCATTTCTTTGCTCATTAATGCACTCATTCATCCACCCACCTACCCGAACATGTATTAAATGTTGTGGGGGGCCATGCAGTGTACCAGCTAGTAGGTCTATCAAGAGCAACAAAACATGGCTCTGCCCTAAAGGAGCTTTATCCTGGTGCAGCACGGTGAAAGCCACCATAGATAGAACTGGGACCAGGTTACCTGGGGGGACACAGGTCCATTTGTGCTGCGCTATCTATGTACTCTCCCAGTCACCAGCCCATGAAAAGCCAGAGACACCAGTTGAAGAAGAATGTAAGCCACCTTGGTACGAAGTGTCCCTGTTGAGCTCTTTTCTTGTCTCTTAACTATTTGGAGCCAGATGTGGTAATTCTAAAATTCCAGAGTTTAGGGATTTCAAAAGAATACAATGACAAGCCTAGGTGACAGCAGCTCACTGTACAGTCATGCATCTCTTGATGTATGGATGCTTTCTGAAAAAATGTGTTGTTGGGTGCGTCTGTCATTGTGTGAACATCACAGATGGTACTTACTCAAACCTAGATGAGACAGCCCATACACACATAGGCTAGGTGGTGCAGCCTATTGCTCCTAGGCTACAAACTTGTACAGCATGCTACTGTACTGAATACTATAGACAGTTGGAACACAATGGTATTTGTATATCTAAACATAGAAAAGGTACAGTAAAAATACAGTATTATAATCATATGAGACCACTATCATATATTCAGCCTATCATTGATGTCATGCAGCGCATAACTGTAGTTGTCTTTTTACCCAAGGCAAGTAAGTATAAACCAAGGGTAAGAGTGCAGTTCAGAGATGATGTTGAACTCCATGTCTGGAAGGTGGAAGAGAAGTTATAGACAGCAAGCAAAACAAAAATGGAAAAGAGCCCCACCATTTAACCCAGTCAAGAAGTGACAATGATTGAGCTGACCCAAAAGGAATGAGAAACAAAGTGCTGTCCCATGAAAAAGGACCCCTGAAATCAGAGGTCTCCTTTCCATGTGCACTTTGTGCCATAAGCATGGGTGGCTGTCTTCGGTAGATCCATGCATAGCTCAGAGATGGGACAGGGGCAGACTCACTGAAGAATCTGCAATCTCCTTGATAGTTTTGTCTGATCCAACAGCAAAGATAATTTTGGCATCAGGGGAGATGGTAACACAATTGTAGCTGCAGGACTTGAGCACACATTCTGTCTCTCTCTTTCCTGTGGACAGATTCCATTCATATACAGCACCATCTGTGCCACAAGAAATCAGTTTGCTGTCATCTGCATTCCACACAATTGAACGAATCTGCAGGAAATGAAGACATATCCAGTTAAGACACACACACACACACACACACACACACACACACATACACACACACACACCATCATGGAAAAGGGCATGGGCTGCTCAGGTGCTCCACTAGGCTGAGACAGGATGTCCTCTCCTGGTACAGATCCTTCTATCAACACAAAGCATAGCTTCTCGGAAATGCTAACATTCTATTTTCTAAGATGCTTGCAGATTACTGAAGATGAAACACTCCTATTTCTTTTTTACTTTGTAAATGTAAAGATGGAATCATAATGGCTAATGCTAGAACCAACCAATTATTGCTATGTTTTAAAAAAATATTTTTGATATAATTATAAATTCACAGTAAGTTGCAAAAATAGCACAGAGAGAATAAACTTTCAGGGATGGCAGAGTAAGGACTTCAACTGATCTTCTCTCTAACAAGTTAACAAGTAAATATGCTTAAAATAATCATTTAAAATCTTGGGAAACTGTCCTAAGGGCATACAGCAAATAGAAACATATTCGTTCAAAAAAAAAAATCTACACAGTCTCCATAAGAACAGAGCCTGTGGTATGTGAATCATGACTGGCTACGTTACCTACCCCAGCTCCAGAAACTTCACTGCTGTGTACTCCTAGAGGGTGTGGCCGAGAAAAGAGACTCCCTTCCCCATAGCTCATGATCTTGGGCTATGGTTTCACTCCGGGAGGGCAGACTGAAGGCGTTTCTTATCCCTTTCCTACCCTATGCCCCAGTTTGCTCATAGGGTGAAGTGGAGGTTCCAATACCAGCAGGGTCAAGCTGAAAAGACCAGGAGCTAGCTCTCCCCCTCCCCCCCTTCCCTCCCCCTCTCTC